TGGAGGTCATTAAATTCTAAGAACAGGTTCGCACGAACCGGTGCGAACCGGCTGAATCCCACCACTGTTGCTAACTATACTATAGACTCTATATTACTATATCGTTGCCTAAACCAGAATTGTTATATTGTCACCATAATTTCTTTATAGATGATTTTGAATTGAGGTTTTCTTAGTAAAATATTTAACTTGGAAACATTAATTTACGACGACTGCTTGTCACGTGATGGAGGTGTGTCATATTTCTTACTTAGTGTTGTACCTGATGATGACAAAACCTTGTCGAAACGTTGTACATTTGCTGTCATGTTAAACTTATATTAAAGTTTTTCTTCATTACCCATTTAAGCCGTCTCCAGCCATTATTAGTCTCAAAGTGGGTTCCTCGTCATCGAATTAGTGTTGTATCTTTCTCCTATCTCAGCCAGATAGACGCTGTGCTGACATTGTTAGCAAAATATAGCGTCCATAGCGGGAAACAAAGCGAGAAACGTAAACAAACACACGCGAGTAACATCACTGTAAAACTACTGTAAATATCTCCGTGGTATATGCCATGTATAACATTACTTTGTTATTACAAAAATCATCCAGTTTCGCGGTTTTTATTTTATTCATAACTCGGCTAAAACTGTTTATATAACTAACTGAAAGGAAGGTAACCAATCTTATCGGTTATTTGAATAATGAACAAAACGTTACTCACTTATCTTTTTATACATTTGGTTGCTTAGTATGTAGTTTACTAGGGCCTTCACTATACGAGATCAACAACACTTTTTGTTGTATAATACAGTAAATTATGCACACACATTTAAGATGTTTAAGAAAAACACAAAACTAAACGAAATGTAAGCATTAGCTAAGAAGGTAAACTACTTTTTCAATAATACATTTATTAAAGTCTTCATAATTAAATCATTTGGCTAAAAATCATCAAACTAATCTAAATGTTATAAGAACACGAGGGCGTGATTTGTGTACGCATTTACACGTGTTTCAAAACATGTAGTTAACTATTAAGATATCTGCTAATGGAATTGTTGTGTGATCTATTCACAACAGCTTCTTTGTTGTTGTTATCAAATCCAGTTCTTCCTAACCTGTTGCTAAGTAACAGTAATGTTTCCAAATATAGTAGGCCTAAGGGAAAGGTCTATGTCAGTTGATAGCCTACCGCTAGTAAATGTTAGGGACTGGCATGGCCTGGTAGCTAAGGTGCTCGATTCACAATCTGAGGGTCGCGGGTTCGGATCCTCGTCACCAAACGTGCTCGCCTTTTCAGTCTTGGGGCGTTATAATGTTTTAGCCCCCCAGTGGCACAGCGGTATGTCTGCGGTCTCACACCGTTAGAAACCGGGTTTCGAAACCCGTGGTGGGTAGAGCACAGATAGCCCATTGTGTAGCTTTGTGCTTAATTCCAAACAAACAAGTAAATTTTATTTCCAAAACACTGAATTAAGGAATTGTTATTTTCGCTTGGACCCGACTTCAATTTTCAATTGTGAAAAGAAACTCCCAGGACAACGAAACTCCATAGATTAAACAAACTCCTCAACTTCTATCCGCGATGAAACGATATGCTTTTCGCGCCAAAATAAGGTACGAGTCGAGAGTTAGAACTTCGAAAACTAACTTCGAGTTTCATACATTTATAAAGCGAGAAAACTCCTTCAAAAAGATGGAACTGTAGTGAAACACATAGATAAGCTTCCACAAAATATGATTGTTGCAAACCCATTTGGCCTGGTATGGCCTGACGATTAGGGCGCTCTACTCGCAATCTGCAGGTCACAGGTTCGAATACCACCACCAAACATGCTTGCTCTTTCAGTCGTGGGGACGTTTTAATGTACGGTCAATCCAACTATTCGTTGATAAAGGGTAGCCCAAGAGTTGACGGTCAGGGTTGTAGACTAGTTGCCTTCCCTCTAGTATATCCCTGCTGAATTAGGGACGGCTAGCAAAGGTAGCTCTTGAGTAGCTTTGCGCGAAATTCAACAATAAAAACATTTTTGCTGTAAGTTTGTTTGTTTGTTTATTTGGAATTAAGCACAAAGCTACACAATGGGCTATCTGTGCTCTGCCCACCACGGGTATCGAAACCCGGTTTCTAGCATTGTAAGTCCGCAGACATACCGCTGTGCCACTGGGGGGGGGGGGGCTTTGCTGTAAGTATGCATACATATTCAGAATTGTTAAACATTCCCTTACGTTATTGACCTGGCGATGTTAGATGTGAACATCACGTTGTATCCTATTCGCAGATGACCAACTAACTGTAAGCAGTGTAGTAGAAATATTTTGCCACTTACCAGTTTTGATACTAAAGGGTTACGCGAAAATTTAGTGTTAGAGATTCAGTTCTATGAATTCTTGTTTGTCAGGTTTATGTCGTGGTTAACCCTTCTAATGCACAGAGTTACATTCTTCTTTCGTCCTGACACAATCCAGGAAGGTAACGCGGCCTGGAGGGTTTCAAGTTTTGCATGACATAGTTTTACGACTGTATTAACTTCTACCTGTAGAACTCGTTTTCTATATTCGAACGCCTTTGTTGAGTTTATAACCGTACAGCTAAGATGATACCGTTATCGGTCGTTTCGCTTGCATAGATTATTATTTACAGGACAAAGCTATGATTGTCCAATTCCACTATCAAGACTGTAGACTTTTCGAATCAAACCCGATTCATCGTTATGCTGGATAAAGTAAGTGATCAGATAGTTTAGAATACATAACGATGAAAAGAATGATAAGTCGTTCTAACATATAGTTTTAAAGAAGGGGATATTCCAGTTGACGCTAAGCCTTTTCACATCTGGAATAAAAGGAAAGCGAGAATAACAAAATGTTTACAAACAATACAGTCATTCATTATGTGAGTTAATTTTACATTCCAAATGTTTACAAACAATACAGTCATTCATTATGTGAGTTAGTTTTACATTCCAAATGTTTACAAACAATACAGTCATTATGTGAGTTAATTCTATATTTCAACACACATTTTAGTGCTAAAATAATGTTTTTTACCACTCAGATAAACTGTATTAAGTAACTTGCACAAATACCATATGGTGGTTTTTATACAGCGTAATTCCCAACATTTTATTTTTATTTATTATAATACATAAACCAAAATTTAAGAGATGCCAAAGGTTTGGTAGATAGCTTCTTACGTCCGATTTTTTCAAGTGAAACATAAATATTATAGTCTAAGTAACTACCACTAGAAGGCTCTAGGATCAAGTGTTAAGTAGGACGCATAAAAATTTTCGAACTGAATCAGCAAAGTCTTATTATTATTATTTTCTAATTTAGTCAGACGCGGGAGGTAGATTATTATTTTTTAATAGAATGTGCTTATAAACTGTTAAAGGTACTATAACAAATATAAAAACTAGGATTTAGCTGATTTTTATAAGAATTTTAACAAATCGCTTAACGTCAATTCTCTAGGGTGGTATGGCGACAAATATCTGCAGAAGACTTTCATTATTTACACACAAATCTCTTCCGAATACAAACTTTCATTATTTACACACAAATCTCTTCCCAATACAAAACTTTCATTATTTCTACACAAATCTCTTCCCAATACAAACTTACAGTATTTACACACAAATCTTTTCCCAATACAAACTTACATTATTTACACACAAATCTCTTCCAAATACAAACTTACATTATTTACACACAAATCTCTTCCGAATGCAAAACTTACATTATTTACACACAAATCTCTTCCCAATACAAACTTACATTATTTACACACAAATCTCTTCCCAATACAAACTTACATTATTTACACACAAATCTCTTCCCAATACAAACTTACAGTATTTACACACAAATCTCTTCCCAATACAAAACTTTCATTATTTACACACAAATCTCTTCCCAATGCACGTGGACACATATTCCAATAACCTTTCCTGCCTATTTTGTCGTAAGGTGTTTCATGTTGTCCACACAGGTAACACTAGGAATAAAATAAATACAATGATTTTCCTGGGGACTTCAAAAAAAAAGAAAAAAAGAGTTGATAGTAGTTAGAACAGATCAATTGGATATATTCTTTGTTCATTTTTGTGTATTTCACTAGGAAGACCTGGCAGTGTTCCATGGAACGTCTTTGCAACGTAAAGCGGAAGGAGTTCTTGCTAACCAGTTACTGTGCGTTTTTCTTCTCATTGTTGACGTTGGAAAGAGTGTCTTGAGCTATGCGGTGGTATACCACAATGGAGGTCAGTATCCTTTGCCGCAGACGGTAATAATCACGGTTATCGAAGCTCTGAAATGTCTGACGGTCACACTTATCCACCTAGTCAAAACCAAGTCTTTGTGGAATCTTCAACCATCTTTGCTCTTCCTGTTTCCATCTTTGGTTTATGCTGTCACCAATAATATTTTTTTCTACGCCTTGACCTACGTAACACCAGCTGTGTGGATAGTATTGATTCAGGGCAAAGTCATTTGCACGCTCATCATCTACAGGTCAGTTTCTCGTGATTATTAAATACGGAATAGCTTATTTCGTATTTTATTGAACTCTATAGTTTTTAATAATCATTCAACCCATTTCAGAAAGGAAATCATATATTTCTCCCTATAACGTCCACTGTTAACTTCTTCCTTCTGTTATTAATTTAGAATAAGTGCCAAGTAATACTGAATGTTTGAAACATTATTAAATAGAGGAATATTATCGAGCGCAGCCGAAAAATAATTGTAATAAAAAAATAAAGAAGAGCAAACTTACACTGTTTTAAACATACCCCTATCCAAGACAAACTTACACAATTTTAAACATACCCTATCAAAGACAAACTTACACTATTTTAAACATACCCATATCAGAGATAAACTTACACTGTTTTAAACATACCCTATCAGAGACAAAATTACACTGTTTCAAACATACCCCTATCAGAGACAAACTTATACTGTTTTAAACATACCCCTATCCGAGACAAACTTACACAATTTTAAACATACCCTATCAAAGACAAACTTACACAATTTTAAACATACCCTATCAAAGACAAACTTACACTATTTTAAACATACCCATATCAGAGATAAACTTACACATAAAACAATGTAAGTATGTCTCTGATAGAGGTATGTATAAAACAGTGTAAGTTTATCTCTGATATGGGTATGTTTAAAATAGTGTAAGTTTGTCTTTGATAGGGTATGTTTAAAATTGTGTAAGTTTGCCTCGGATAGGGGTATGTTTAAAACAGTATAAGTTTGTCTCTGATAGGGGTATGTATAAAACAACATACCCATATCAGAGATAAACTTACACTGTTTTATACATACCTCTATCAGAGACATACTTACATTGTTTTAAATATACCCCTATCAGATTCTTTAGCGATAGAATACAAAGAAAAATAGAATGAATTATTTTTTTACAAGTAATGAATGAAGACAAGTGGATGAGTGATGTCAAATGACAGTTTTATATTTTTAGGACATTCATCGATTTGTAATGTCATTCTAAAAACGTTATTCCTTTCAGTTATTAGGCCCGGCATGGCCAAGTGGTTAGGGGGCGCTCGATTCGC